TAATAATTTCATCTATTGATCACATTTATTCTCAATTCAAGATTCATAACCTAATGTAATGTTGATCGAATTCTTTTATTACATTCAATTTATCTATCGCGAATTCTCATTGAACCCATTTAACTAATTCAATTCCATATCTCTATGTGAATAAACCCTAGTTAAACGAAATACTAGTTCTAAGAATTCATATTATGACTGCAATAATTATTATAAGTCTATCTACACGTTATACTAATTTATCGAATTTTATTATATGGTCTAAACCTCAAACTTACCTCTCGATTCGTAAGAGACTCGCATAATCAACAAATTATTGATCATGTAATTTAATACATTAAACTTATAATAAAATCAACACATATATAAATAAATCACTGAAATCTTGAATTAAAAAAAAGGATCACAAGTCGACTACATTGGTTTCCCTAATATAAAAATTAGTTATTTATATTGTAAAAATAAAAATACGCAAAGTGGAAAGATATCACAAAAAATTGACAAAATGTGAAAATTTTTGGTGTTCGCAATTTTCTTTCTTTTCTGTTTTTCTTCTTTTATTTCTTTTCTCTTTCTCTCTCATTTCTTTCCATGCGTATGACTTTCCCCCTTTTTCTCCTTTTCTCTCTTTTTCTCCTTTCTTCATTTCGTTTTTCTTCTGTGCGTTTCTCTATCTTCTCTCTGCTGCAGGTTTTTTTTTATTTCTGTGCCTTTCTTTTCTCTTCCTTGCCTCTATGTCCGTATATATATATAACCTTCAATTAAAATTTTCAATGCAAGTCTATCGAGTCTCATTTAACTCGAACACATTTAATGTAATATATCTGGATATCGTTCCCATGAAGACTATACTTTATGACTTAATCTAATTTTTCTAACTCCTATTTGACAAAACTGAATGTAGAAATCAAGCAATGGTGATGGATGCTATGGGCCCTAGTATCTACAATACTTTTTTTAATCAGCAACATTCTTTTCCTGAAGAACATGAACTGAATCCAAGAGCTGCAAATTTCTTTAGACTACTTCGAGAAGCTGATGAACCTATATGGCCCGGTTGATAAAGCACACCAAACTTTCAGCGATGTCTCAACTTTTGAATTGTAAGCCTGAATTTAATATCTTTGTAACATGTTATGATCACATGTTGTCCATAATTACAGACATGTTTCTAGAAGGTGCACAGTTAGAGGATACATTTTACAAAACAAAGAAAAGGTTAAGTAGTCTTGGTCTTGGTTATACGAAGATACATGCGTGTGATAATGGTTGCATGTTGTACTATAAAGAAACTGAGAATTTGAAAGAATGTTCGATTTGTGGTAAGGAACGATACAAAGAGAAACCTTCTAGATGAGGACGTAAGGTGCCATACAAGGTATTGCGATATTTACCTCTAATACCTAGACTACAAAGGTATATGTCAAGGCATACTACAGAGCAGATGATATGGCATTCGAAACATAACTATACGAGTGAAGGCATGGAAGCACTTCAACAAAACTTATCCAGAATTTGCCCTTGATCATTGTAATATGTGTATATGTTTATGCACTGATGGCTTTTGTCCTTTCGATACAAATTATAAGCCATACTCGTGTTGGCCAGTAATTATCACTGTTTATAATCTCCCACCTTGGACGTGTATGGAAAAAGATAACATGATTCTAAGCATGGTTATCTCAGGTCCTAAAAGTCTAGGCAAAAATTTAGATATTTATTTACGTCCTCTGATTGATGATTTGAAAATTTTATGGGAAGGAGTTGAAACTTACGTCATATATACGAAGCAAAAATTTCAAATGAAAGCATCTTTGATGTGGACTATAAGTGATTTTCCTAGATACGGTATATTATCTGGATGGAGTACACATGGTCCAACAAGAGTTGTTTTTTTTTATTGCCATTGTTGCTTCTTACCACAAGATCATCCGTTCAGAAAACAACAAGACAAGTTTAAAAAACGTACAATTGAGAAGGATGTAGCACATCTTCGATTATCAGGTGATCTTATTCGACGTATGCTTGATAACCTTCCCGACATTCCTATGACAAAGCATCTAAAAGACAAGAAATTAAATGTTTCGGATGTAACCATAATTGGGTAAAGAAAACCATATGTTGGGAATTACCTTATTGGCATACAAATCTCATACGCCACAACTTAGATGTGATGCATATTGAAAAAAATGTATTTGATAATGTGTTCAACACATTTATGGACATAAAAGGAAAAAACAAAGGATAATGTAGAAGCAAGGATGGATTTGGAGATTCATTGCAACCTGCCGGAGCTTCACTTATTTAGAGATGGAAACAAAAAAACTTCTAAGCCAAAGGTCTCTTATACTTTGACAAAGGAGCAGAAAAGGAATGTCGATGGTTATTCTTCTAACATTGCTCGTTGTGTTAAAGGTGATGGTGAGTTTTACGGGATGAAGAGTCATGATTGTCAAATATTTATGCAAAGATTGATTCCTATAGCATTTAAAGATCTATTGCCAAAATAAATTTGGGAAGCATTAACTGAACTTAGTCCTTTTTTTTAGAGATATATGCTATACTGTTTTAAGAGTAGAAGACATTGAACAACTCGAAGACAACATTGTTGTAACATTTTGCAAACTGGAAAAGATTTTTCTACCGGCATTTTTTGACTCAATGGAACATTTGTCAGTTTACTTAGCATATGAAGCTGAGGTAAGAGGTCTTGTGCAATATCGATGGATGTATCCTTTTGAGAGGCAACACGTCAATTATTAGCATTATCCATTTCATATATTAATATGTATATTAACAGAATACCCATATATTTCAAGTATCTATTTCACCTAAAAAAGAAGATAAAAATCAAAATCATGTTGAAGCATCTATAGTAGAAGCATACTTTGTAGAGGAAACATCTAACTTTTGTAGGTTATACTTTAACTCAAATGTTGAAACACAATTAAATCATCCACCAAGGAATGATGACGGAGGGTCTGTTGATCCACATGGAAGACTATCGATTTTTACAAAGTCTGGTCGATTCCTTGGTAATAAGGCTCAAACTATAAAGTTTATGAAAGATGACGATCTACAAGCAGCATCATTATATGTGCTATTAAACTGTGAAGAAATTATCCCCTTTGTGAGGTAGGATATACTAATAATCATTATATGTTTTCCCGAATCATAATTAGCTACATTAACTTTTACATCGTGATCTCATTTATAGGAAGTTTGATGAACATATGAGAATGGATGATCCTCAACTGTCTGATGCACAACTTGATCAATTACGTGACAACCGCTTTCCCCATTGGCTAAAAGAATATGTAAGATGCTCAATACTATACATATAACCTACATAAGCTATTAGTAAGCACATTTCATTTTCTTATGTTTTGGATGATTGGAACACAATTGACTCTGAAGTAAAGAACATCGCTTTGGGTCCTTCTCGTAAAGTGAATTGTTACAATGGATCCTTTGTGAATGGTTTCAAATTTCATAATTTGGAATACGGTTTGAATAGAGCGACTATGGATAGTGGTGTGTGCATTCTCCAAAGTTGTTATAATGATTATGAGCGCGACTACTATGGCATGTTGCTTGAAGTTTAGGAAATTGAATATTTTGGACCTCAAAATAGGGTTGTCTTATTTAAAGGCGATTGGTTTGACAGTGAGAATGGGATTCATGTACATCCGCGATTTAACCTTGTTGAGATTAATCATAAGAAAATAGTAGTGAGAACTGACGTTTTTGTACTTGCCCAAAAAGCTCAACAAGTATACTTCACGAAATTTCCTTCAAATTCTAGAGATAGACGTGACTGGTGGACAGTTGTGAAAACAAAAGCCCGACATGTGATTGATATTCGAGAAATTCTATCAGAAAATGATGATTGCAATACATTGACTGAACTACCATTCCAAGAGGATCATTCACCTAATATACAACCACTTTCAATATCTCCGGAGTTAGATCATGAAAATCTAGTTCGAGATAATATTTTTCCTCAAGAAGTAGAAGTAGAGGAGCCTAGTAACATTATGAACTATCACGTGCTTAATACAAAAGAAAGTTCATAGGAACAATATGATATACATGAGGTAGATGATGACACTAATAGCTCTACATCGAATCCAAGTGAAAATGGCAATGATGAACATGTACGCTTATAACTATCATTATTTTTGTGTTTCTTATGTTCTCTTCACTTCAGGAAAATATTTAATTCATTTAGTGCTATTGTAATTAATTTATGTTCCTTCATATTTTGCTTATTGTTATTGTGAATAGGTTTTGCAAGCAGGATGACATGGACTAGAGGAGGTTATAAATCTAGTCAATCAAGTTACGAGAAATCCACACGGGATAGCGAGACGAGATCTACACGCGGTGGTTTTCGATATCGTGAGGCTAATATTTCCAATGATGATATGGAAGATGAGGATATAGACGAACCATTGTATCAAGAAGACATGCTATCTAGATCTAATAATTGGGCTAGGAGTCACACGTAATTTTAAATATACATTTATTATGCATTGTGAAATGGGCTACACTCTATATGTTCAAAATTATTTTTAGATATAAGATTCATCTACATATTCTTAAAAGACCAAAAGAGCTAACAATAACCATTAAAGAAATTAACCTCTTAGCTACAAATTTAACTATTGTCGTTTTGAATTGGTTTTGCAAGCACTATGTCACTAACTAATAGAGGATATACTAGTCAAGTAAGTCAGCATAGATCTATACAATATGGTGACAGGGGATCTACATGTGATGGATATGGTAATTATAAGGTTAATATTTCCAATCATGAGGTCGAAGATGAGTACATGGATGATGAAATTTATCAAGAAGATATGTGTGGATCTAATAGGCCGAATGGTGGCGGTATATTTAATTATCCATCTTTGAAATATACTTGATGTCCCTNCCAAGAAAACAAGGAACTTGACCAACCCATTCACAATCTTGTCGAGCCAAATAATCATTAACAATTATAGCATGAACTCCTTTGCCAGCCAATGCATTAAGAAACGATCCGAAACAAAAGATTTATGATGTTCCGCAATTAGTATGAAAGAAAGGATCAATTAGTATGAACAAGAAAAAAATAGCTCAATTTGTCAACTATATTACCTTGTAATTCCAGAAGGAAGTGAAAACAAAGTACATTTCAGTGAATATGCTGCCAAAGGGAAGCAATCCTCCATTCATAGAAACTACAGATGGTGTCAAGTACCACTTCTTCTCAGGGATTGGTCGTGGAATGGTCTTCACTCGGCATGGATTGTTTGGAGCACCGCTCCAGTTTCTTCCAACAACTGTACCAAGAAGTGCCAGGGAGAAAGAAACAAATGCCGAGATTATGAAGACAATCACCATCGAGCCAAAGGGAATGGATGCTAGAGACTCATAAAATATTGCAATAGTGTTCAGATCATTTTCCTATTTACAAAGAGAATGCCACAAATATGATAATGCATAGCATTGATAATTAGGTTTATTGATTTCTCTACTGAGAAAAAAAGGGGAAAAACTGTAAACTATCTCAAGATACTAACCATAGAAATAGCATTTTTCAGATCTTCTTTGTTACGTCCCCCAGTCGTCCTTTCAAACATCCCAATACATCCCTAAGATTCTTCAGAAGTGTCCCTCTAATGAAGTCACCTCTCTCAATTTAGCAGTGTTCTAAAATGCGTAATTCGTGGCGATGCGTGGAGGCCAAGCCATGGGCTAGGCGAGCATTGGCGAGGCTTATGCGTAAAAATGTGTTTTCTTATTTTAATATTATTTTAATTTTTAATCAATCAAAAAATTTTAGACCAACCCACATATTATATACCTTCTATTCTCTTAGCCCATATAAGAAAATCAAAGCCCATTTATCCACAACCCATCCCCAAACACACAGACCCAACCCAACCCACATAATCATCATCTCCGTCGAATTGTGGTCGTACAGCTCACACTCTAAACAAACCGTCTTCCCCAACTGGAGCCCTCGCCGTTCTGCTAGATAGTAACCCAAGAACTCCAAATGCAAATCAGGATTTTGTAGATGAAAACCAATTTAAATAAGAATCATCACACAAATCAAAATCAACCCAACTACAAGCGAAGGCATTAAAGAAAAAGCTTACCATGTGATCTTCATCTTCTTGAGCAATTCTGGTGAACCTTCTGCAAACACAACAAGAACAGATTATTCCATTAGCAAAAGGAACCATTAACTTTAATTTACATTTGCCAAATGGCTCCTCGATTAGCAATGAAAACACATTCTTTTAGTTAGAGCATTATTAAGCACTGAGCAATGGTTGGTAACATGGGACAAGAAGTCGAATTGGAATGTGCTGGTGTTTTTGCAGTACTATGCTATATGTACATGTCACTTATAATATCTACCATACACCACAAATTTGATAGCATTTGGTCAGTAATCAATACCAAATTCTGAAGTCCCTATGAAACATATAACAGAAATAGCAGAAGAAATAAAATAAAATCTATGCATTATCATTGTTTGGGCTAACGGTGTTCCACGGTCCACCATATCTCCAATATCAAGCCCAACCATTTGCTATCGCATTTATCAATGTTCTTTAATAGAAACACTTGATAATAAAACTATCAAACAAATTGATTTGATGTTCACAATATTATCAAGTAATATGGAGAGACCTAGTAATTACGACAGCTGCAAAGAAAATTTCTTAAATCGCACTAAGTTTGACGGGAAAAGAAAAGGGAAGAAAAAGTATATATTACAAGGTTTTTCAACATCTCAACTAAAAATAGGGGAAAAAAAGAAAAACAAAAAGAACATTATTCGCTGATGAATGATTAGCAAGCATAAATTATGCAAAACATCTGTTCATGTAACATACACGCATACCAATATGCTTGTATTTTTTATTAAACTAATTATCAAGGAAATAAAAATAATAGATTTCACAGAATTCAAAAGGCACTCTACCTTCATTCCAGGCATTTGGACCCACTCAACAGCAGTTTCAGTGGCCTTTCAAAGAAACTCTTTTAAAGTCTCTTCTGCAATGGACAAAAGCCTGGGAAATATACAAAAAGGAAACAGAATTTCATAAGCCACTCACAACAAGGCAATGAGTCATAGAGCACAACAGTATATTTATATTTTTATCAAGAAAAGGACCTATCAACCATAAACACACTCACCCTGCAGGACTTGCATCCCTTGGCAAATGCTGAGGCGTCAAGCGGTATTGTTGACCACTCATCACCGCTGATTCACAACTTGTATCTTTAGTAGGAAGTGCATTCTAAAGTAGAATAAAGGACAAAACCTGTTAATTTTCTTTAAAACACTATTAATTTCACTCGAGACATATTTGGAGCAGAATACTTGATAAAGAGAAAGGCTGGCCTATATGATAAAGGTCAAGATCTGTGGACCTGGGCTTCAGTTTAGTTCTGTGCAAATCTTCAGCCAGCAACCACAATCAAATAAACTTAACGTTAATTTCAAACAGTAAAACTAATTAGCCTAATTAAAAAAAAGTCGAATTAATACATAACAATCAAAAACCAGCAAGAATCAATTTGAAAAATATAAAAAAAATTATTTCAAAAACCTTACTTGACAGAGATTGCGTTGACACAGTAGTCGATTCCACCAAGATATAGAATCAAACCCTATACACAGAAACAGGAAAACTAAAGAGTCAGTTCAAACATACACAAGATTTGAAGTTAAATTCATTCAAAATCGATAGGTAAAACAAATTCTTTCCAAAAAGAACTTACGTTAAATCAAAGTAAATATGAAATCGACATACTTGAAGTCACCAATCACCAATTTATTTGCAAACTTTCTGGTTTGTTTGGGAAGGTTTTGCCAATGTTCTGGGTTTATTTTGTACTTTATTAAGTAATCGATTGATGCAGTAAAGTTTTAAGAGAGGCACAAGACCTGGTGCTCACAGGCGATGAAGATGAGGTGGGGTGGAGTGAGATTAGGTAAAAAACGCACAAAAAATGATCTTCGAATTGTTACAACTCACCATCGTTTTCGCCTGCGCTTTACTGTGTATATGGAAGAGTGCGAGGCAGAGAAGCAACGTCCTTTGCTTGAAGAAGAAATCTATTGTCCCAACCATCGAGAGTCAGAACTGAAGGAAAAAAATAGGCGAAGAATGGAGCTTAGTTCCGGACGTAAAGGAAGCGGAGGAGCCGAGAAACGACGGAGGAATTGTCGTGGCTTCTACTTCTCGTCAAACCATTAACAGCGAAAATCGAACAAAAGAAATAAACATCAAACAAAAATCGAAGCACGAATCTAAAAAAGTTTCTGTGAAAGACAGTGAAGAACGTGAGAAGACGATTTCTAGGGTTTCTTTCTTTGGGCAGGAACGAAATCGCGAGAAAGAGAAGAGGGGAACGTGTGATGCCAAAACGACATTGTTTTGAGTAGGACAAAACTGTGAACAGTTGTATAGGGATAAAGAGGAAACTGGTTTTAATGAAGGAAATATTTTTAACCAACAAGGAATGAAAGCATTCTTGCATGTACAATTTCTTTTAGCTTAATTAAAACCATGGGTGAAATTTCCTGAGCTACAAATTGCTTCTCTTCACACTTGTAGTTGACTACAATCATCGTTTATAACCAGAATATTATTTGTCGAGAACATTGTTCTTTGGAAAAACAAAACTAAAACATTGATCACATGCAAATGTAAGAACAAACTTCAATAAATTTAAATCAATTTACTTAGCATGCAGGATGTCGATGACTAGAGGAGGAAATACATCTAGCTGAGCAAGGCAACGTAAATCAATACGTGCTAGTGGTAGAAGGTCTATACGGAGCAATAATGAACATCAAGATCCTAATACTCTCACTGATGAGTTGGGAGGTAAGCATGTAGATGATTTGTTTAGAGCTAGTAACATGACCAGGGGTCCTAATCGTGGCACTCCTATGCTTACTGATCGATCACAACATATCTAAATAACTATTAAAAATAACACGTAAGTACACATTTATTTTCAATTGATTTTATATATTTAGAAACATACTTGTTGGTGTTTTGTAATATTTATTATGTTTGATATTGTGCATTGGTGTTTGTGTAGACAATGGAAATGTCTATTTGTTGGAGGAGAACTTTGCTAAATGTTAAATAAGTGAAATTGATTATTATGTGATGGTAGAAAAAATGATATATTTATTGCTTGTTTGTTTTAACAACCGATATATATACACACATGGTGAGATGTTTCGACCTCAAATTACAAGGATTAATGTTGAGAGAAACAAAAAGAGCAAGCTGTCATATCTCAGACTCGCAATGTTTTTCATTAGAATTGCTAATATTAGAAGATTTTATGCAAATGTAGGCTCATTGTTCATGTTCTCGTCATATCTTATTTCGATTCTTTGACCAATCCATGTGCTTTATATTGCTCTCTTTCTTTTATAAGTTGTATTTTTATTTTTTCTTTGATTTAAAATATAGCAACTCGTGGTTAAAGATGATAACATTTATTATATTTGCGTTTAAAGATGTCGTGTTTCTTATATGGTTGTGTAACTTATTGAGTTTTTCCTAATCACATTTTTTATATTTTTTATGCAGTTTTGGTGAAACTTTCGTACCACGTGACATCACCGCAACCATGAAAGCATATTTTGATGGTTCATACCCCACATTTTGCTCGATGCCACAACCAGTAAGAGATGGTTTATGGGATCGATTTATGGTAATTATATTTATTATATTTGTAAATTTCTTATATTCATTAGGTCTATAAATTGATTTTTTATTTATATATAAGGATAAATATGTATGGTCGACTGCGAATACTATCAATGTGTATGACACATGGAAAGTAATGGCGAATCATAGATATAAAGATATGATGAATGATTCTCGCAAGAAAGCAAAGTGTACAAGTAAGTCTGATAATCATGTTGATTGAAGAGGACAGGACTCGCGTTGGATAAGGGCAGAGCATTGGGATAGTCTTGTAAATTATTGTAATACCGAGAAATGGAAAAAAATGTGAAGATTACCAAGGAAAATCGTCTTGCACAAGGACATGATGGTGAAATGAATAAACATACTGCCGGTTCAATCTCCTTTGTGATTACTAAGAAGAGATTTGTATTTTTTTTCCATATTATTTCTATTTTGTTTTTTAAAGTTCATGTATATTTTTAACTGATTGTGATTAATAAGTTGAGAAAAGGATATGGATCGTCCAATGTCCCAATTAGAGTTTTTAAGTCATGTTCACATGAAAAATCACAGACTTGGTGATTTTGTCGACAAAAATCTAAGCGAGTTCATGTAAGTACAATTAGAGTTTATGTACTTCATAGTTCGTTCATATAGTTAGTAAGAATTATTTTTTTTATCTTTCACAGGATACCTATAAGGCTTCAATTGAGTCCAAGTATGGTACCGTTAGGGATGATCAACCTGAGTTCAATCCCGATTCATGGATTGAGGCTGTCAACGGTCAATCTAAGGGCCGTGTTTATGGGTTTTATCCTAGACAACCTACTTCACATGTTCTTGGTACACCTAACTCACCTAGAAGTTCAATACTTGCATGTGATGAAAATATGAATAAT